GTTAAAGGTTAGGGTCACCACCAAAAATATGTACATGGCAGTATCTGATAGAGACCATCAGGCGGTATGTTGTAGTCAGACCCCTTTTACATATCTGACCTGTGATCAGATTTCAGATCATAACCCTGTTTCTGGTCAACTGTGCCACTTGATGAAGTGGCCTCATGGCTCTAAGCTTCAGTCTCCCTACCCGCAAAATGGGGACAGTGTTAGAACCAATATGTGGTAAGTCAGTATATGTAAAGCAGTTTGAACAGGGTGTGGCACTTAGAAATTTCTTGAAACGTCTTCGTTGCATGCAGTGCTAACAACGGGCAAGAGAAGATGAGGAGCGAGTGGGTAGAACTCATACGAAACACCTGAGGCACCAACTGGAACGGACGTGGGACCGGAGAGGAAAGAGGATCTGTGAATGACAGCTCAAAGCTGAAGTGGAAACCCACATCTGCACAATAAACAAAAGATGACACAAAGGGCCAGGTTCTTTGCTTTGGGCTGAAATTACACAAACCCCTTGCAATAAACTGAAAGGTTTTGGAGTTAAACAGACATATACTCGGGAAAGGTGTGTGATGCTTAATTTCTAGAGCAATGTCCCCATCAGAACAGCCCTTCTGTCTTGTAAGGTAATGGCGAAGATGAAAGAGGTATCACACAGAAAGCACTTAGTGGGAGACTGGCACACAGTAGGTACTAAGTACACAATAACCACAGCTGCTGGTCTCCTTCCTTAGCCTCACTAAGCCTCCTCTTCATCACTGAGAAAATAAAAAGCATACCTAACCTGCTTTACTCATTCAACTCATTTATCAAGTCAAACACTGTGAAGACAAAAATGTATTCACCATACGCTGCCCATGGCCTCTCAGAGTCCACATTTGATGCTGGCCATTATTCATCCTTTCAGTAAATATTTTTACCTATTCACATAATAGGTTGCATAGCGGACACTAGAAATACAATGGCTGGTAAAGCAATTCAGTACTCAAATACCTACAGAGTTGTAGCCCACAGAAGCTGCCCTAAACAAGTGCAATGCCTATCAGACATCAGGTACCAACAAAGCTGGTATGTTAGTTAGTATACTGTAAGATAGGTATGGTTTGCCGGGCGGTGGTGGCGCACGCCTTTAATCCCAGCACTCAGGAGGCAGAGGCAGGCGGATCTCTGTGAGTTCGAGGCTGGGCTGGACCGACAGCCTACAAAACAATACAGAGAAACCCCGTCTCGTAAAACCAAAAAAAAAAAAGATATGTATGGTTTGGGAAAATCATGAAAATATATGAAATAAATGATTTCTTCACATATTTCAAATACAAGGGAAGTCCAAAGAAAATGAAATGCATTATTTAACAAAGTGCACATACTTGAAGACCTATATGATTGAAGTCATAAGACACCAACTACAAATAGAGAAAAATCTAAATAAACAGAAAAGCATACCATGTCCATGGGCTGACAGCATAGTAAAGATGTCAGAGCTCCCAGGTCAATAGGATTGAGTCAATCCCAGCCATCAAAGCTTTTTTCAGACAGACACATTTATTCTAAAGTTTATATGAGAAGGTCCAGACCCTAGAAGAACCGAACCATCTTGACAAGGAAGAACAAAGTGAGAGACATCACTGTGGTTGATATTAAGGTCTGTGGCACAGCTTTGGTGATCAAGACGGTGTGGTTTGTTGTGGAGACTGACATGAAGACCAGTGCAGCAGGATTTAGACTCACCAGTATGCTCAGCTGACTTTGACAAAGGTGCGCAGCTTTTCAGAGGAGGAAGCACATTTTTAACTTTCGTTTTATTTATTCTTTGTGTCTTTTTTGCCCTTTTTATTTTTCATTAATTTATTTTTTATATTCCAATCCCGGTTCTCCCTCCTTCCTCTCCTCCCCACTCCCCCCCCCATCTGCTCCTCAGAGAGGATAAGCCCTCCCCTAGGAATTCTACTAAATCTGTCCCATCATTTCCATGAGGCAGGATCAAGGTGCTGCCCACCCACCACACCCCTGTGTCGAGGCTGAGCAAGGTATCTCTCCATGTAGAATGGGCTCCACTGAGTCAGATTGTGTGTTAGAGTTATATCTTGGACTCACTGCCAGTGGCCTCATATATTGTCCCAGCTGCACCATCGTCACCTATATTAAGGGAGTCTAGTTTGGTCTTATGCAGGTTCCCCATTTGTCAGACCTGAGTCAGTGATCTCTCATTAGCTCGGGGTCAGTCAATTCTGTGGGTTTTCTCATCACAGTCTTGACTCCTTTGTTCATATTTTTGCTCCTCCCTCACTTTGATTGTACTCCAGGAGCTTGTCCCAGAGGAAGCACATTTTTAGCAAATGCTGCTGGAGCCATTGGACATCCATAATGCACAGATGTGTGCACACATATGCGCTATATAAACATATTTCTTTCTTTCTTTTTCTGTTTTTGTTTATCAAGGCAAAAATAAAAAACACTGTGTAACAGCTTTGGCTATCCTGGAACTCACTCTACAGACTCACAGAGACCCATCTGCCTCTGCCTCCCAAGTGCTGGGATTAAAGATGTGTGCTACCACCACCTGTCCCACATTTCTGTTTTTAGTTTAAAGTTTATGTGCATGTTTTGCCTGTGTGTGATTCTGTATACTACATGCATACAGGGATTACAAAGGTCAGAAGAGGGCATTGGATCACTTGGAACTGGAGTTCAGATGGTTATGAGCCACGTGGATGCTGGGAAAGGAACCTAGGTTCTCTGGAAGAGTAGCCAGTATTCTTAACTGCTAAGTCATCTCTCCAACCCATATTTTTTTAAAGGAAGAAAAGCACAATTATGAAAAGAAAAGAAAAATGAATTTGGGCCTCACCAAAAGTTCAAACTTCTTGTCTGTAAAAGTCCATAATAAAAGACCTTTTTAATGGTCTATGGACTTGAAAGAAATCCTAGTAGACCATCTGTCAAGAAAAGGACTTGTTATCAGCATATACGAAGAACTTTTAACACTCAACTGTGGGAAAACCAATCCAATTAGAAAAAAGGCCAAAGACAGAAATAGTCTTGTTAGTGAAATCACTAACAAGTACCCACCGGTGGCAGATAAGCCCACAGAAGACGTTCAAAATATTACCTACTGGGAAATGCACTTTCAAACAACAAGATAGTGCCTATAAGAGAGCTAAGATTTAAAACAATGGAAACACTGGCTACTGGCGAGGACAGGGAGAAACTGGGTCCCACATGCATTGCTGCACAATGGTTCCATCCTGAGAGAAGTTCCCATGCTCCTTCTAAAACCACCATGCAGGGGCTGCAAAAACAGCTCAACAGGCAGGAGGAGCACGTACTTCTCTTTCAAAAGACTTGTATTTGGCTCCCAGCACCCACAAAGCAGCTCACAACTGCCTGTAACTCCAGCTCCAAGGGATCTGAGCCTCTCTGTGGGAAAGCAGGTGGCGCACACATACACACTCAGCTACATACACTTACTCACAAAACAAATATATATATATACATATCACGAAATTACTATGCTTCCCAACAATTGTACACTTAGGCATTTATCCCAGAGAAATGAAAATTTAACATTTATTTAAAACCCTATATAAGAATGTTCATATTACCTTTATTCATAAGAATTCCAAGCTGAAAACTCTGTCTTATAGTGTGTATGGAAAATATCATTTAGAAGTTGAATGGTTAGAAAAAATGCAACACACATACACACACACACACAGAGAGAGAGAGAGAGAGAGAGAGAGAGAGAGAGAGAGTAGATAAGCATGAAATACTATTCATCAAAAATGATGTTCTAGTTGGTTCTGTGTCAACTTGACATAAGTTGGAATTGAAGCTCAATTAAGAAAATCCCCCGGACCTGCCTGCAGACAAGCCTTTGGGATATTTTCCTGATTGATGTGAGAGGGACCAGCTCACTGTGGGTGGTGACACTACTGAGATGATGATTCCTGTTGCTATCAGAAAGCAGGCTGACCAAGCCAGTACGCAACGTTCCTCCATGGCCCTCTACTCCAGTTCCTGCCTCTACTTTCCTGCCTTGAGTTCCTACCCTGACTTCCCTAGGTGATGGACTATGATTGTAAGGCAAAGTAATCCTTTCCTCCCCAGGTAGCTTTTGGTAATGATGTTTTATTACAGCAACAGAAACCCTAACTAAGACAAAGGATATGGACAATAATCTAGATGAGTCTCCAAGGAGTCACACTCAGAACACCTCTGTAACCATGGGTCAAAACCACTCATAAATAAGAGTACTGGGAAAGCGTGGCATCTATGCTAGATGTGTAGACTTTTTCCTTGCCATCATCCCCTCTAACAACCATCCATGCCATATTAATGTTGCATTAGGGATTGCCAATGATCTAGAGATGACAGAGTACACAGGAAGCGGTGTGTTGGTTACACGACGGTTCTGTGTCATTTTATACAAAGGTCTCATGCATCCTTGGTACCCATGTGCTTTTAGAATTCTTGTATCTTGGCAGGTACGAAACCTATAGATGTGACATCAGTATTGAAAATTAAATACAAATATAGATGCACACATATGGAAGTACAAATAAAACTGGGAAGCCTGAGTAAGACTGGCAGATTACACACAGCCGAGCCATGAAGCCTCCTACAAAAATGCAAGATGATACCATAGGTAGAAACTTGGAAGGGGGTAGCCCCATATCTCTCTGTGTTACTACTTCCATCTGGTAGGAACCTATTGTGATCTCCATAAGTTTTTCAATTAATTTTCAAAATGGCTCATTGGTCTATTTTTCTATTGAAAGATTTACATTTTAATAGTAACTTGCAAATCTATATAAAAAGATGGAGGAAAACTTACCTGAAAAATCTAGACATTCACAGCATCTCTTTCTGACCATTGCTTTCTGAGTGTGTGTGTGTGTGTGTGTGTGTGTCTGTTTATGAGAGGCAGTGATAAGACTCAGGGTGGTGGGCTTTGCTGTCTTCTGCCTTCTGTGACATCAGAACTCATGCTTGGCTAGTGACAAGGAGTGGGGGAGGGGAGGCACCTACCTGCCTGTCCATTGAAAGTACTTCCATTCACCCAAGAAGTCTGACCTTCAGCAGAGACATGGCAACCCAGAAGATGGGAGGCAGGGGGCAAGGGACAGCTGAGCTGCTTGAACAGAGAAGGAGCAGCCACAGTGATGACAGGAAGCAGGTAAGACCAGGGCACATGCTGTTTTCCTCTTGTCCCTCCCTACTTCAGATCCAACCACCCTGCAGTCCACCACAGGGACTCCAGTGTCCCTTCCCATGGTCCCTCACACGCTCCCTTCATTATCATTCATACCAAACAGGAGACTGTCCGTGTCTCATTTGGAAACGGAACTTTGTCTCTCAAGACTCACTAAAGTCCTAAGCCCCAAGTGACTGGACTTGTAGACAGTGCTTCTAAGGGGGTGACTGCTGTTAAGTCTCTGGTCTCATGGACCAGGCTGTACCGTTATCGGAAGGAGCAGTAAGGAGCACCATCTGTAAAACCATCTGAGGACATGGTGAGAGGTGACGCCTGAAAGCCCGGGAGAGAGGCTGCATCCAACAGCATAAACTGGTAGAAACCCCGTGTCTACTGTTCAGAGCCTCTAGCCTGCGGCATGGTGGCATGGTGGTGCTAGTATGGCATGGTGGCTAGCAGACAGGGACTCATACAGATTTAGCGTTGACAAATAGATGTGCAGAACAATAAAGCAACAGAACCCAGGAACACCCACGTGACACATCAAAGTCATCAGTATAATTTAATGAGGAAAAATAGTCCTGAAAAATAATTGTAGAACTGAATATCTATGTTTTTAAAACTCTCCAGCCATATTTTACATTATATGAAAATTTTACTCTAAAATGAATCATACACATAAATATAAACAATAAAATGTTTAGAAAAAGAGAAAATCAAACTTTAGAAGAGACATGTTCTAGACTTCACATGAAGAGCGCACCACCAAAAGGGTGGTTTATAAAAAGCAACTTGCTCATTTTTCGAAAAGATACTGACATAAAAATGAAAAGATAAGCTGCAGAGTCAATAAACTATTCACAGTGAATATTTTTCCAGCTACTTAGATCCAAAACATTCAAAGAACTTGACAACTTAATCAGAAAATAGACAGTCCCCATAAAAAAATGAGCAAATGACTTCAATAGGCATGACAAAGATATGTAGATTAACAGTCGCCAAAAAAGCCATGATGAGAGGTACAGCCTCCCGATTGGAGGGATGGCTCAGCAGCCAAGAGCATTTGTTGCTCTTATAGGGGTTCCAAGTTTGGACCTCAGCACCTGCATGGTAGCTACTAGCCATCCATGGTAACTCCAGTTCCAGGGGTTCCGAGGCCCTCTTCTGACTTCTGCCAACATCAGGCATGTACGTTTGCACATACAACACATGCAGGCAGAACAATTATAAAAAAAAGTCTTTGAAAATCAAAAAATGCAGCCAGGCATTGGGGGTGCACGCCTTTAGTCCCAGCACTCAGGAGGCAGAGGCAGGCAGATCTCTGTGAGTTCGAGGCCAGCCTGATCTACAGAGTAAGTTCCAGGACAGCCTCCAAAGCCACAAAGAAACTCTGTCTCAAAAACCCCCCCAAAAAAGAAAAAATGCTAAACCTCATTGATCATTTGGAAAACACTTGTAACATAGGTTAAGATGTGTCTACATAATAGCAATAGAATGCCTAAAATTAAGATTGGCAATACTAAGACAAAGATAGAGAACAAAAGGAATTCTCTGACTTGCTGATGGGATGAAGTCCAGTAAACAGCTTGAGAAACAGTCCTGCATATTGTTCTAGAATTAAGCATACATTCACCCAGTGTCTGAGTAGTCACCCATCAGAACTGAGAAATATGTCCACACAAAGACAGGGTACACGCATGTTCAAGGTACTCTTGTACATGACCACCCCAAACTGTAAACAACTCACCAGGAGGTAAGGATGAATTGTGTTAGGCTCATGCAACATACTCATCAATAACGTTGAACACAGAAAAGCATGGAGCCACATCAAAAACATTATACAAAAGACATCACTGACTCATTTCCACTAAACTCACAAATGGACACAATGTGACTGTCGGTGTCCCAGTGGCCTGACTGAGAGAGGAATGGGAGACCTTTCAAGATGATGGAAAGGGCTAGAGCTTCATTGAGGTCACGTGTAGACACTTGTCAAAACTGATCAGACTGTATGCTTTTAAAATGTGTGCATTTTGTTGTAGATGAACTATACCTCCATAAAATTGGGGCCTCCCACAATTCAATTGCAATAAAAAGATTTTAAGTGATTCAGGAGTAGGAGAGGAGGAAGGGGAAGACATAAATGTCAAGGCATTGCCCTGTCATCTGTTTTTGCAACAGTTGGAAGCATATATGACTTAGATCGTGGAAAATTGCTACCAATGAGTGATAGTTCTCCCATGACCTAACTCCTGTTAGGGGCATGGAGCCTTCTGCACCCAGGAACTCACCTTCCTGTCTTCTTCCTCCTCTTCTTGCAGACACTGTTAGCTCTGCTGGTCTTGGTGCTGTACCTGGGTACAGGGATATCAGGTGAGTATTCTGGAACCCAAGAAAGGAGAAACCAAATCCAGAGAGTGGGGTGGACGTCTGGGGGTCCCGTGAGGCACCCTACACCCTGCCCTTTCCCACTTTGCCTCCCACTGCAGAGGCCAATCACACTTATTTGGACTGTTTGTTAAGAGGTAGTACCTATCTGTGCCGGTTTCAGGAAATGGCTGGGAAGTATCAGGACGGACCAGGGACTGCAACCACGCCCAGAATCCTGTGGCATCCCAGGTGATGTGCTAAGGGGCCCAGAGGAGGTGCTATCAGCTAGATAGTTTGGGAAGGATCAACAGGAGCTAGTCAGGTGGAGAAGGTAGGGTGGGGGAACCCAAGCAGAATGGACAGTATTTGCATAGGGAACTTTGTCAAACAAGAAACCCTCCTGAAAAGTCTGAAGATACAGCTTTGGCATTTGCCTTTCAGGGCTTTGAGTATCAGACCTATGAACCCGCTAAAGAGCCAATAAGGACCCTCAGGAAGTGGCTGAAGATAAATTTGCATGACTTTTTGGAGAAGCTAGAGAAAGAAGTAAGAGAGCTGGAACAGCTGGTGCGTGACCTGGAATTCTGGCTTGATGCACTTCTGGGAGAGCCACGCCCAGAAGATCCCTGCTCCACCCACAAGGGTCATTTGTGAAGGGCAGGCAGGTGCTGGGACCCGGGGATCAGAAGACACAGTAATGATCGGGCTCTGACACTTGCTGCTCCAGGCAGGCTTGAGAAAATAAAGGTTGAGAGGATAAGTGTAGACACAGCTTCTGCTTCTCCCTGGTCCTACAACCGATTAGCCCCAAATAAGCACACAGAGACTTATACTAATTATTAAACTGTTTGACCGATGGCTCAGGCTTCTTACTTGCTAGCTCTCTCTTAATTATTAACCTATAACTATTAATCTAAGTATTGCCACGAGGCTGTGGCTTACCCATAATCCGGCATGTTACTCCTTTGGCAACTACATGGCTTCCATTGTGCCTCTCCCTGCATCCTCTCCCCAGCATTCTCCCCTCCTATACTTCCTGCCTGGCTACTGGCCAATGAGTGTTTTATTTATCAACCAATAAGAGAAACATATCAGATAAATGTGCTGCTCATGAGCACTGGGGAACAATGGGGCAGGGAGACTATGGGTGGGGAACCATACCTGTGACCACCAGACTAGTACAGCTTCAAACTCATCTCTTTTTTTTTCTTTTCTTTCTTTTTTTTGGATTTTTTGAGACAGGGTTTCCCTGTGTAGTTTTGGAGCCTATCCTGGAACTAGCTTTTGTAGACCAGAGATCTGCCTGCCTCTGCCTCCCAAGTGCTACAATTAAAGGCCTGTGCCACCACTAGTCGGTTTAAGCTCATCTCTTCTTTTCCAGTCACAGGAGACACTGGGCAAATTTCCTTAATCCCTCCCTTTTAAAAAAGTATGTATATATGTATGTGCATGTATGAAGATTCACATGCATTTTTGTTTGTGTATACATAGCCATACTTGCTCATGTATGTATACATTCACACACTCACATGTGTGTCTATGCATGAATACATATTCCCATGTGTATTCATGTGTGCTTGAATGTTCATGTGTGTGGTCACATGGGTGCTCAGATCTCTCTCTCTCTCTCTCTCTCTCTCTCTCTCTCTCTGTGTGTGTGTGTGTGTGTGTGTGTGTGTGTGTATGCAAACAATGAATCTCAACAGACATTGCATCACGGGTGCTGCTGACAACACACTACTATTGCATATCAACTTCCAAACCAAGGGATTTTTGCTGTAGCTGCCTGAATACACTGAGACATTTTCTTCCACCCGATATGAAGAAGCTTGCAAGCCATGGTGTAGTGCCAAGGAGGTGGACATGGTACAAGTGTCCTGTTAGTGCTGTTGTTGACAGAGTTCCTGAATAGGCACAGGAACTCAGGAGCAGAAAATGATCAGAATCTAGTGTAAGAAACAAAACCACAGGGCAATGATGATGAAACCATGGGTAGTGGAGACTTGAAAACCTCTCTCTTTCAATTTTGAAGATCAAACAGCCTTTGTTTTTATCCAGGATTCCCCCTCCCCATTACCTCCAGGAAACTGAAGCATTTGGTTGCTTTTAATTGGAATTATGTCTGCCTTTCTGTCCTGGGCTATTCTCAGTGCCCTTTCTGTGATTTTTGTTTTCCTATTTTAATACATTTGCTACATGTGTACCAATTGTTAAAACTGCTCAGCTCTTTGGGAAATCTTCAGGGCTCCAATTAAATAATCCCAGCAGACAGCTGTCATCCAGGGAATGGCACCGCAGTTGGTTTGCCCAGAGGAATTAATCAATTGCCATTGGGGATGGAAAGTCTTGCAAATTACGATCATGATGTTTTCACTTTGGGTGTCTGGCAGGGACTTGGAGCCAGAGTCTGTGTTTCCTCATTTGCACTTATTTAGTGAACGATCTCTGGAAAGGGATTGAACCCACTCGCATGTATATCTATCTGCACATTACCACCCAGGGTTGTAGCTCTACCAAAGCATGTTCTCTGCAGGGACTTTAAAAGTCTCTCAAACCTAATTTCAACTACACATACTTTATACTCAAGTCTCCATCTGAGTAGAAATCTGACCATATCTGCATCACATATGTGCATATGCTCATATTTGTCTGTCACTTTTTTGTATTTACATTACATAATCAAGTTATTTTATATTATGTGTTGTGTTATATTGTCTATTATTCAACCAGATTATTTCTGAATCTGCACATTCCCTATCTGAGCCTTTCTGGGCACTGACACAGGTAGAAGGATCACACCTGTCCTCATGAGAAACACGGAGCACTAGAAATACTATAGTAAGTCACCCTCAGACTGTATGTTTTTTGCTCACAAATCATAAATTGTGTGTTTAGCTAGTGACCCACCCTTAAGTCATCTCCTTAGGTAATGCAAATATTCCATAATTCAGAAAATATCCAAACCCAAATGGTTCCCAGTATCTAGAGAAGGATCTTCAACTTGTATGTATTTATAGAATGTGTTCTTATGTATGTATGGGTGTGCAAATGTGTGTACGTGTGTGTGCATTTGTGTCTAGGTGCTCCAGAGCACAGCGTGCCATGGGGGTGGAGAACCTGAAGCAGTCAGGTCTTCAAGAACTCAAGATAGTTCCCGTGGATCCAACAGTAGGCACTCTCAGAGTCTCCCCACCATGCCACCTTCACTTCAGCTCGTCCCCTCTCTGCTTTCTATTCCTCTAGTGTCTGTCCTAACTCTTCCTGCTTCAAGCTTTCCTTAGCTCGGCACGCTGCCTCAGACTCTAACTGTTGCCACAGCCTCTGAGTCCTACTGACCATGTGACTCTGTCCATGTTTCCCAGGTGAAATTCCGAGAGGATGGGGAGCAGTGAGTGAGCCAGTCTTTCGTACCAGCCTGCCTTTGGACTGATACTGTGGTGGCTGCCTTTGATCTAACTGACAGGAGGGACAGAGGGACAGAGAGTATCCAAATGCAGCCAACTCACCTATCCATAAAAGCTCTGATCCATGAATTAAAAGTACTCAAGAAAATCAATGTAACGGTTGTGGACACAGGCCTGTCCTCGACCTCTAAATAGCACAGTATGGCAGCTATTCACATCTGTTTCCCTTGTATTGGTACAGTAAACTATCTAGAGATGACTGAACACAGGGATTGGGTAGCTTAGACTACTTACACTGTACCTACTTTACATAAGGGACCTGAATATCCTCAGGCGTTGGTGTCTGGAGGAATTCAAAAATCAGTCTCCTGTGAATACTGAGGGACCCTTGTACTTTAGAAAGAGCTGACTGATGAAAGAAACAGTCCGGGTCCATTCCTCTCCAGGGACTCTGAACTCTGCCATGACAACCTGACTTCCAAGATGGCCAACCAGCCCGAGAGTCACTACCAGGGCTACAGACATATGTGAGATAAATGCTACGTGAGGATCAGGGCCCAGCAAACTTCCAGAGCTGCCAGGAGTGTACTGTATCAGAAAGAGATGAATGTTTCTTTCCACAGTGTCAGAATTTAGACACACACACACACACACACACACACACACACACACACACACACACACAGCAAGCTTCCAGAGCTGCCAGGAGTGTACTATATCAGAAAGAGATGAATGTTTCTTTCCACAGTGTCAGAATTTACACACACACACACACACACACACACACACACACGCGCGCACACACACACACACACACACACACACACACACACACACACGGTACAGAAGCCCATATAGTCTTACTTTCCTTGATGATCCCAGCCAAGGCAAATGTGGCTCTTATTCCCCCAAGCTTAGTTATTAATATTAACTCTCAGATTACACTCTACCTATCACAGTAAACACATTGATATACACCAGTGTATGAAGTCCTAGAGTGGCTGTGAAGGGTTAGGTAGTCAAGGAGTTTCAAAGACGCTCCAGAGGCCAAAGCTAGGAAGCTGACAGAAAGGCAAAGGGGTCTGCGGAGTCTCAGAAGGGGACTCCCTTGTGGAGTAGGTGGAGAGGGTCTCGGGTTTGAGCAGAGCTGCAGAGCTAAGTCCAGCTACGGAGGTGAAAAGGTAGGACTGAGTCAAGATGAAGGTCAGACAGCAGGTTCAGACAGGCAGACAGAAATTCAAATAGGCTGCACCAACCATGTGCTTAACTGAGCTAAGCTGAAGTCCTGAGACAGTTGGGAGCTCTCTGTTAGCCCCTCGACACACATGTTAGGATGATGAGATGGCATGTTTGTCATTGCAGTACTAAGTGTCCACCTTTTTAGGGATCCAGGACAGGGAGTTATGCCCTTTCCCTGATATGGTTTTAATATGCACATATGCCCATACAGTGTCATTTCACACAGATAGATGTACATTTATTCTACTCCCAGGAATTAATCATTTATCAGTCGGTGCTGCATGGGTGATGCACAACAGATGATACCAGTCATGTGTCTACCCATTGGTTTCTATCGCTACGGTGAAACACCATGATCAAAAAGCAAACTGGGCTGGAAGGGGTTTATTTGATTTCCACTTCCACAGCACTACTCATCATCACTGAAGGAAGTAAGGACAAGAACTGAAGCAGGGCAGGAACCTGGAGGCAGGAGCTGATGCAGAGCCCAGGGAAGGGTGCTGCCTACTGACTTGCTCCACATGGCTTTCTCAGCCTGCTTTCTTATAGAACTCAGAACCACCAGTCCAAGGATAGCACCACCCACCATGGACTAGGTCCTCTCCCATCAACCACTAATTAAGAAAATGTCGTAGAGCAGTGGTTCTCAACTTGTAGGTGATGACCTCTTTGGGGTTGAAGTACCCTTTCACAGGGGTCACCTAAGACCATTGAAAAACCCAGATATTTGCACTGTGAGTCATAACAGTAACAAAATTACAGTCATGAAGTAGCAATGAAAATTATTTCACGGTTGGGGTTCACCACAACATGAGGAACTGTATTAAAGGGTCACAGCATTAGGAACGTGAGAACCACTCCACTGCCCTACAAGTTTGTGTACTGCCTGATCAGATAGAGACATTTTCTTAATGAGGTTCCCTCCTCTCAGATGACTTTAGCTTGTTTCAACTTGACATAAAGTTATCCAGTATGATTGACCCCTTGTCAACTTGACACACAAACACATCACCGTTAAGCCATAACCTTTCCTTTCTCATTCATCCCCAAGATCTCACATTAAAATCCTAACTATAAAAGTCCCACAACCTTTACAAATTCGATCTCTTTTAAAGTCCAAAATCTCTTAAAAATTCAGTTTTCAGCTGTGGGC